ATTGAGGGCCCTGTTGACAACGGTGCTGGGGAATCCTCAGTTGAGGAAGAAAGTGGACATTTTGGAGGCTCCTTTGTCAAAGTTGGCCTAATCTAAACAAATGCGACAGAGACAGAGGAACTGAGAGAATGGGATGGAGTCTTTACAGGGTGTGAGGATGTATAGTCCAGGTAGCTGTGGGAGTCAGTGGGTTTATAGTGAATATTAGTGGCCAGCCTATCACCAGAAATGAAAACAGAGATGTTGAGGAAGTGAAGGAAGGAGTCAGAGATAGACCAGGTGAAAGTGAAGGCGAGGTAGAAATTGGTGGTGAAATCAATGAATTCCAGATGAAAGAAAAAAGGAGCACCAATGATAGCATTGATATTTCGGAGAAAGAGTTGTGGGTGGGGGCCGGCATAGGACTGGAACAAAGAATGTTCCACATACTCCATGAAGAGACAGGAATAACTGGGGCCCATGCTGGTACCCATGGCCACCCATCTGACCTGGAGAAAATGAAAGGAGTTAAAAGAGAAGTTGTTGAGGATGAGGATGAGCTCAGCCAAGCAGACAAGGATGGTGGTGCATGAGGATGGTTCAAGTCTTTGCTCCAGGAAGAAGTGGAGAGCCCTAAGACCATCCTGGCATGAATGGACATGTAAAAGGATTGCATGTTCATGGTAAAGAGGAGGTGGCTGGAACCTGCAAACTGAAAGTTTTGAAAGTGGTGTAAGGCATCAGAGGAATCACGAATGTACTGGGGAGAGAAAGCTGAGTCAAGGTAGGAAGAGATGAGTTCTGTGGGGCAGGAGCAGGCTGAAACAATGGGTCTTCCTGGACAGTCCTATTTGTGGATTTTTGGAAGGAGGTAGAAACGAGCTGTGTGGGGCTTGGGGACTATCAGCTTGGAAGCAGTGAGGTGGGGGAGGTCACTTGCTGAAATGAAATCAGTTACTGTAGTAGATAGAATGGCCTGATTTATCATGGTGGCGTCATGTCCGGGGAAGATAGGAGGCGGTATCTTAGAGCTAGTGCTCAGCCTCTGCAATGTAGAGGTCAGTATGCCAGAACCTTCTTTCTGTGTTGTAGATCTCTATGACTCTTTGCCATTTGGGATGGCTGTATCATGTCCACAAGATTCAATGTTTTGAATTAATATAGAGACAAGATGAGAAAACAAAAGCAGGGAAAAAAACAAAAACAAACAAACAAAAAAGAAGAATTGCAGATGTTGGAAATCAGAAACAGAAATTGCTGGAAAACTCACCACATCTGACAGCACCTGTGAAACGAAATTGGAGTGAACATTACAGGTCCAATGACCTTTCTCAACATCATATTAACTCTGATTTCTCTCCACAGATGCTGCCAAGTCCACTGAGTCTTTTTTTTTTACTTCAGAAATTTATGTTCTTGTTTGAGAAATAAAAAAACACGTATTGATTAAGTGAGAATTATACACAGAATCTCTGAGGCTAAGCTGCTAACTGATGCTTTGAGTTTCAAAGCGAACTAACTGAAGTGTTAATCCAAATTTGTTAAACAACATTTGAAGAGTTTGCAACAGGGAAAACGAGCAAATTTGGAAACATTGCTTTGGAGACAGATTGTTTAAATTAATACTTGCCACTGAGGGACCATGAAAAGTGAGATCCACTACATTTTATCAAAACCTAGAATTATTTACTGAATGCTCAAGACAAGAAGTATAATCAAAAGTATATCATGCTATTATGTTAAAGAGATATGATAACAAGGAGGATATGGAAATCAATGGTAGTAAATCAAATAGGGAACAAAATTTAACTACAAAAATTAGAACCAATGGAGAATGGGTTAGAAATTGAAAAGCTGATAATCGAGCTTTTTTTTTAGATAATATGAAAGTAATCTATCATAAATGTTTTTTCTCCTTGATCTTAAGAAAGTCTGAAAAGATTTGGAAAGGCTTTAGCAGACTGATACATTGAAATTGTCTCAACGGACCAATGAGGAAACAACTCTGGCTCTATTCGACAGTAATACAGAAGACAATCCTTACAGAATGAATGCACAGAATTTAGGTCAACTAGGGGAGGGAAGATATTAAGTCCTTGATGGACAATGGCATGATTGAACAGATCAGAAGGTCTAAACTTCACCTATCATGGTAGAGCCAAATCCAAATGTGTCACAAAGATAATGCATTGCTTCATGCAATATTGAAGAATGCAAGGACAAAAGAAAACTTGCATGGATTCCATGTTTGGATGACAGCATTAAAATAAGTGGACACACAGGAATCATGCCAAAATTGACTTGAGTTAATTATTTTGGCCAGCTCCATTAACTGATGAAGTCGAGAGCACTTCAACTTTTGTAACACAAGTTTTTTTTTAATAGTTTAACCCTCCAAACATAAAATTTCAAAATCATTCATGCATCTTGAAAATAAAACTGTGTATGATTCATTGTCAAGAACACTGAAAGAAACTGACAACTGTGATTCAAAGGATATGAGTAAAATATGATTGTTTGAAATGGCATATTGTATTTTTATGATACCATAGAATTACAATTTTTTGAAAAGGAAATCAAAATGCATGTTCTTTATGCATTTTCATTCTTTCTTGGGTTAAGGTGTGATGAAAACAGTTAATGTGTGTCTGTAGAGCAAAGAGCCCATCTGGAACATTGACCTAATCAAATGTGTCAGTATGCTCATAAAATGATATTTATAAGGAAGTGGTGTTGATGGCAAGACTAAACCATCAAGACCACTAACACCACTTCTGGATTTAAACAATTTAAGATGAGTTAGATATTACAATGACCGAAAAGAAATGGTACAAATCATTTCTTTTTTTAAATTTTGTTCAGCTGACACCTGTGCTGCATTTAAAACCAAGATTAGTTTTACTCCTGGGAGAATGATTCAAGGCAGTTCCTGTAATAAGTTAGCTCAGCAAAACAACAGTTTATTAAACCTCCAAATGAGGAAACTTTCGTTAGAAACCTGCAGGTTATCAGAAAAAAGTTTAAGAATTGTGGGAAAGTTCATGTCAGCATATTTGGAATGGATTGCTTGAACCAAATCCACATTTTACTGTAATTAAAGTGGCAGGAGTCAGTTACGTGGTGAAAAGATATTTAAAGCAAAGGTGGTCTTGGGTCTCTGTAATGAATATTGTTGGCAGACAATTTTAGGCATTATTTTCCCTTGTGCTTTGGCATCATTGCATCTGCTGTATATCCTCAAATATTTGCTTCACATTTCATTTCTTATTCAACGAACCTCTGTTCTTTTGTTAAAGGGAGTCATAAGCTTTGTGTAACGTACCTCAGTGACTAAAGACTATACTAAATGAGAGAAGAAAATAAAAGCATATGGTCCATCATTATAAACAGCATTTTGTGATTTGAATTGTCCAGTAGCATAATGTCATGTGATGAAATCAAATAAATGAACTTACATCAGAACTGGAGAGAGATAGAAATGGGCAGAGACAGAAGTGTGACAGCGTTTAATGAGTTAAAGGAATGATTGAGGATGAGGTTGAATTCCAGAGAACTGCAGAATATCGGCAATAGGGCAAATGCAAATAATGCAAACTGGAGAATGTAAGTGGTAAAGTAACCTGCAATGCCGTACCAATAGAAATGAAGATGGCACAAGAATAAATGAGCTATTTTGAGGAGATGTGAATCGTAGACTAATGGTGAATTGTCACACAAAATCAAAAAGAAGATACACAGAGAGAGGAAGGGAGACAAATTCAGTGAAACAATTGGTGGAGGATTTTTGTGCCTAGAACATTTTGCAATCAACATTTGTGTTCAATTATATTGCATATTTGAAAGATGAACTGCTCATCTTTCACATTATTATGACTTTGTTTTCCTTTTATTCTTTCACAGAATGAGCAACACTTGCAAAGTTGTATTCATTTTCCATCTTTAATTCCCCTTGAACTGGGTGGAATTTAAGGTCATTCAGAGAAATATTAAGAAACATTCTCCTTACTTGGGGCTCGAGACACACATAGGCCAGATGTAAGGGTGTAGATCTTCCACACTAAAGAGCACTGGTGATGCATATTTGTTTTATGATAATCGATGATTTGCATCAATTTTCAGTGAGTGGACATGGTGGAGGATGATGTATGGAACATAAAGACTGCTGGAACAAAACCATGAGCATGTTTCTCAAAGACAAATAACTCACCAAGGCTCCTTCAGCAGAATATTTGGTGTTTATTATTTCTACCACATAGAAGGGTACCAGTAACAGATGGACAGGAACAGCAAGAACTGCAAGCTGCTCTCCAAGCCATACACTGTTCTGACTTGGAAATATATTGCCTTCCTACCACTGTCCCTAGATTAAAAAAATCAGGAATTCCCTTTTTAACAGCAGTAGAAATCGACCTGCATTCCTAGGATAGCAGAGGTTCGAGAAGGCTGCTCACCACCATCTTCATTGGGACAAGTAGGGATTGGCAATTAATGTTGCCCTAGTCAGCAACACACACAGTCCATGAAAGAAATGCAAAATTTCATTAAAATGTGGTGCTGGTTTGAACTGAGTTTGTAGTTTCAAGTGGACTATGTGACAATGTTGGAAATGTTTCAAAAGGGTATTAGAATGCAAAGAGTGGGTGGTGATTGTTTTTTTGAATGTTGGCTGAGATGTATATTTAATTATTTTAGTATTTGAAGACAAATAAGCTCATGCCGAGACAAAGCAATCTCCTTTTCTTTAAATTTTACATAGAAAATACTATCAATGTCGATTATACATTGTCTCTTCAATTTTGGAATTGTCATTTACAAGTATTTTAACACACATAGGTTGCAAGTAGTTGTCATTATCTGTTTATTCAAAGATGTAAAGATAATTTGAATGGTGTTGCAACCTGGATGTCCCAGTAGAGATTTCAGATGGGATAAATTAATACCTCCAGACATGTGGAATCACAGCATTTAATTCAGAAAGATTATCTGTGGTACAATACAATCTCAGTTCTTCCTGCAAAAAAATGATTGAAATATTTCGCAGCATCAGAAAAGTATACTACCTGGTTCTTGCTCTCATTGGTATTCCTGGTAAGGGATGGTTATCTATTCTATTTAATAATTCCACACCTGAGATGGTGAACTGTCTTTTTTCCCCCAGGAAAGGGATTGTTTATTAATATTCCAGCTGTGCTCGTTGCAAAAATTTGCATTTTCAATATGATTACTGTGTGTGGATCAGTCTACATTTGCCATCTACATTTTACTGTAAGTATTATTCTGTTTTGAACCATTAATTAGGCTTAGCCATTACGCTATGTTTTAGTTTAAAGGTGTTTTTAAAAGAAGTGAAGACCTGTGAACTGAAATATGTGTGGACGCAGACAGATTAGTTCTTGTCTTTGTCACTCTGGCTCTATGTTTATTTCTATTTTACTTGTCTAACAACTTTCAATAAACTGTTATGAAATTGGGGCATAATTCCCATATTTGTTTGGAGAAAGTTTTGGATAGGAACATACTGTTACATTATCTCAGTGGACTTTAACACTCCGAACACTGCCTTTGACATATGCAATTGTTCAGTCCGAGCATTAGAGTGAGAATTTATCATTATGAAATTGTACAGGATGTAGGTTGATGAAATTGGAATGCTTTGATATTATGCAGTTTTTTTTTATGTGTTCAGTGGCTTAAATAAGGTAAAGTTCTCAATCATTTAATCACATCCATCATGTGTTCAGTCAGCCTGAAATAACTTGGAAATTGAACTTAGATTTGGCCATTTTTGATTCACAAACATAGATAAACTATAGCATAGTTAAAATTACCTGAGACTACTTGTGCATTATACACACCTATATCGTGTTTGTGTTCAGTTATGGAAAATTATTTTGTGTATTAAGATTAATTTCTAGTGTATTTTGTCCTTCTTTCAGTTAATTTGTTGGCAATTATAATCCTATCCCAAGGAAAGTGTGGTCTTTCTGCTTGTATCACTCGCTATCTGGTGGCCATGGCAGCTGCTGATCAACTAGTCATTATGACAGAGGTCATATTGAAGAGGATTAGTTCTTATTATTTCCCAGGTTCTTTCCTTCAAGTAACACTCGTCTGCAGCATTGTTAAAGTCCTGCGTCGGGCATCAATAGATAACTCTGTGTGGTTAACAGTTACTTTCTCTTTTGATCGTTTTATTGCGATATGTTGCCAGAAGCTGAAAGCAAAGTATTGTACTAATAAGAATGCAGCTGTGGTCATTGCTACAACCTGCAGTCTACTGTGTTTAAAGAACATTCCCTATTATTTTACATATAAACCAAAGGAGATAATAAACAATGTACCATGGTTCTGTGATATAAAGTCAAGTTTTTACACTAATGCTGCTTGGTTGGTATTTGACTGGTTTGACACGATATTAACGCCACTGCTTCCATTTGCAATCATTATGTTGCTCAACGCTCTGACAGTCAGGCATATCCTGGTGGCAAATCAAATCCGTAAGGGTCTGAGACGGAAAAGCAAGGGACATAATCGCAATGACGCAGAAATGGAGAGCCGAAGAAAATCTGTAATTTTGCTCTTTGCCATATCAGGAAGTTTTGTGCTTTTGTGGCTTTTATATGTCCTGGAATTCTTCTACTATATCATTACTAAAACCAATGGCCCTGAAGATAATGACTCTTTATATATCTTTGAACAAGTCGGATATATATTGCGCAGTTTAAGTTGCTGTACAAATACATTTATTTATGGAGTGACGCAGACGAAGTTCAGAGAACAGTTCAAGAAAGTGATGAAACGCCCATTGACCCTGCTTGTTGAAGTAATAAATAATAAAATACATCTGAAATGAGCTCAGAAATGAATCCTGGTGCCTTCAGTCTATTTATCCAATATCCACCCATTGAATTATGTTCTCTGAAAGCTACTAAGAATGGAAATTTTCTTTGCATAAGAACGCCTTAATACGGTAGCTATTGTGTTTTGTTTTGCTGTTGATTTCAGCGAGAATGCGGGTCCCATCACAAAATAGGTGTTGACAAGCATATTGGCTATATTCTTTATTTTCCTAGCTGCAGCCATGACTCATAGCACACTAGAACGCTGGTTTTCCCCAACAACTGTAATGATCTGGAAGACATTAACATTCCAGAGACCTATATATTCTGATAATTACAAGGACAAACACATTGAGGCGCTGCTCCTCACTGCTCCGAATCACAAATTATGTCATATTACATCATTGCAAATTGCACTGCCGAATACATCGAACTGCACCTTTGCACCATATTGCGTCAAACTACATGACTTGCATCATAATAAACCACAGTGCAGTACTCAACACCACTCATAATGTGATACCATAAGTTACTACGCCACACTGCATCAGAATAATTTACCATACTTTATACTTCATCATACCATATAAGGCTGCACTACCCTAAACTGCACTGTATTTCACCACGTCATAATACTCTCAAGATTCACACTCTGCCATACTTTAATGCCCTTCACCATACTTCGCCACAGCTGAGTCCACTGTAACATAATACGTGACTCAAAATCCCATGGAGGCACAGAGATTAACCGCACCAGAATGCGTGCAATGACACAACATAGCATGAATCTCAACTCATCTATATCTCTGTTATACTATATACGGCAATGCGATATGCAACAGAGTATTACACAGCAGCACATTGCACTACCCAAAGTCTGAGATTCCTGGGATATCGATATAGGTCCAGGAGGAAATAGTTGCTGTCCAAATCATTCTAATGGATCCGTGAAACAAGCGAACAGCTGACAGCAACAACAAAAGAAAAATCCGTTTGGCGTCAATTGCTAACGATATTGGGCAGAGTTTAAATTAACTTGTTAGAAGTGTGGAAACCAGGAGATAACATTAGAGAAGAGAACTGGTAGAAATCGATAGAACTAGATTGGGGAATGGTTGAAAAATTGCTGAGGTCTAAATAAAAGGGAGTATGTAAGATCTCAAATCTGCTTACTTTGAATGCACGTCGAGGTGTCAGGAATGACAAATAAGTTTGGGTACCTGCAAGCGTATATAACCACATACAGTGCAAGCCAGTCGTCCAGACGACTGAGCTGACAGCTGGCCTGCAGTGCAGAGTAATGCCAACAGCTCGGGTTCAATTACCACATTCAATGAGATTACCATGAAATGCTCTCCTTCTCATCGTCTCCCCTCACCTAAGGTGTGTTGACCTTCATGTCAAACCACCACCAGTAGTTTGTCTCCAATGTGACACCTGTCTATGGTCTGGTGAGACTATGGCGACTTGATAGTCATTTCTAACCATCTGCAAATACGGTTTTGCAGCGATGAGACAAACTGGGCTCACGAAAAAAAAAGGGCATAGCGCAAAAACATCCTGGATGCAAAGTGTTATGAACGACAAGGAATTAAATAAATGTAATTAATAAAAAATGGAACAGCAATGTTGATTAAGGAGAACATTACTGGAGGAAGATGATTCTCAGGTGATATCAATGACAGAATCGAGTAGATAGATCACAGAAACAATCGATCTATCATATCTTTTTTCTACATGCCATGAATTAGTAAGAAAGTTCTAGAGACCAAATAAACAAAAGGGACACTTAGCTGAAATAATAATGGGCTATGGCTTCATTATGGGTTTCCCAGTTTTATTGGAACAGTAAGTTACAGGCTGGGCAGCAGTAATATAAATGACAGACTGATATTTTGATTTATCAAGTGTCCAGAACAATATATTTCCAATTCAAGACTGAGGAGCCATTAGTGGATGCACTGGGAATTTAGCTGGATCCGGTGAATCAGCTGAGATTTAACGAGCATTCTATCTCAGCGACTACAGTGTCGCAATTTTTCGTTTATGTACGGCTATGGCCACGATCATACCAGGGTCTGAACCATTAACTAGAGAAGGAGTTGGGGACCAATCCAATTGGGTGATATGCATCTGGCTGGTCTTAATTGCAGGTAAATATATAATGGAGAAATAGGCTTAATTTAAATAAGAGACAGTTTGGGATCAACCAATGTACATTCCATGATTAAAACTGAGCCACTGGTTAAACAACTTCTTCAGTTGGGAATGATTGACCACAAAGATCTTCTAACCCGCTTCTAACATTTTTGTTTTAGTCTCGATACTATCAAGCTCAGAACTGGGTCTTGGACAAATCCGACATTAGGAAAACACCGGGAACAATGTCAAAGAATTTGATACTGTATTGGATTTTCCTTTGAATGTTGAAAACATTTTCTTTGCATTTATAATAATACCGTATCATTTGTGACCAAGCGTGACAAAACTAATATGTAGCAGGCCATTCAGCCAATCGCGCTTACACCAACCCCTGAAGAGCATCCCACCCAGACCCAACATTCTACCCTATCCCTGCATTCCTCATGGCTAATCCAGCTCGCCTGCGCAACCCTGGATAGTATCGGCAATTTAACACGACCAATCCGCCTATTTTTGGACTGTCGGAGAAAACCGGAACACCTGGAGGAAACCCACACAGACAGTCACGTGGCGCTGGTATTGTATCTGGGTCCTTGGCACTGTGAAACAGCAATGCTAACCACTGTGCTACCACGTTGCCCCACTTGATTAACGATTTTAACAAAATGAAAGTGGAAGTTTCTTACAACGACAAATTTAACTGTCAATCCCTAACAGCATCGAAACAGAGTAGCTTCCGGTGCAGTTTCAGAAAGTAGTTCAGTTTAGGTAATTGCTATGAATCTGCTTTCACTTATTGGTCAAACCACGTAAGCACGGACAGTGCAGCAGTGAAGGGAATACAGTTATCAGTTAATGCATTTCTCAGGGAGATTGTTGGTCAAAATGCCCGCGATCTGGAGAGCAGACGTTCGACATCTCTCCATACGAAATGGATGAAGTTTATTTTTTTTCCTTTATTCATTCGTCGGATGAGGGTGTCATCCCATCCTTAAATGCCCAGAAGGCAGTTAAGAGTCAACCACATTGCTGCGGGTCTCGAGTCACATGTAGGCCAGACCACTTAAGGATGGTATTATATTAGTGTTTTTTCCCCACGATTGACAATGGCATCATGGTCGTCATTAGACTCTTAATTCCAGACTTTTTTTTGAAGAATTGAATTCAAATCCCCCCATCTAACGTGGCAGGATTCGAACCCAGGTCACCAGAACATCATCTCTTCCTATGGATCAACACTTTGGATAATACAGAATAGTAAAACATTACTAAATGAACTATTGGATCTTTCTCGACTTTTTTGTAGGGTTACAAAGCTTTATGCACTGTAGGTTTATTTTCTCCCACATCCTGTCTGGTGGGACACAGTTTGTTCAATATGAAGTCAGTATTATTGTTTGCACTCTAGGAAAACGAGTTGCTCAATTCTAAACGTTTTTTTAAACGTTTTCGAAGCAATGTGATTGTTTCTGCTATGGCTAGTATCTGTCAACCATCCCTAATTACTCTTACGATGAATAGTGTTTGGCTACTTAGGAGAGCAGTTTAGAGTCGGTGACATCATTGTGTGTGCGAATTGCAGAGAGAAAGCACTTTCTTTTTTTGTTCCTTTAGAAGAATATTAGCCAGTTTTGATTTTGTGAAAATCAATGATCCACTCTTTCCATTACTAAGAGTAATTTCCCAATTCTACGTTTATTAACGTTACTTAAATTCAGCCTTTGTTCAGCGTCAGATTTGAGTCAGTGTCCTGAAACTGAAGCAAAGGTTTACTAGAAACGTACTACTTCAACGTGGCCATCAATTGCCTTGACAGCGCATGCTGGGTTGTGAGTTTATTTGGTAAAATATCTTTTGGTCCTTTCTCTCATAGTTTTACTCATTTGATGTTCTAGTGTCTATCATGCCTCTTTATTTTTTAAAATTACGCAATTTTGAGGTTGATGTTCCCCAGTGACAGGCACTGCACAGTCAGCTATTCTAATGTTTCTAAAAAAAGCTGACCAGCCACGGTCATATGCTATGTTCTAAGCTTGCACAGAATATCTCCATTTTTGCAAGCATCCCCGGTTTGAGATTTACTGCTCAATATTTTAGATAACGTGCTTGGCCCTGTAAATCAATTCCCTCATTATTGTGTACAGAAGAATCTGCTGTGAAACTGTGCCCTTTGTGGCTTTTTTTTTTAATCTGTACCATTTGGCATCCTGAGTAGAAAATGAATTATCCTTTTCGTTCATATCAGAGTCAAATCAGCGATGTGGAGATAACCTTCGTGGAAGCCGGGAGTTCTGTTGCTGTAGACCATAATGCTGAATAAACATGATATCATTAACAACACCGACTGTTTCAGGCCAAAGTAGAATGAACTGGAGCATCTAAGGTCAGTTCGTGGAGAACTAGCACATACAATAATAACATTTTACATATTGAAAGGGTTGATATCATGTCTGTCATATCTATTATGAACTTTAGCGAGGGTGCGGTAAAGATAACAATATGCATGAAATTATGACGGGCATGGATAGGGTAGACAGGAAGAAAGTTTGGTCCATGATGAAGGGATCAGTAACCAGAGAGCATAGTTTTAAGGTAAGCGGCAGAAAGTATAAAGGAGATGCGAATTAAACTGTTTCACATACAGAGTGGTGGGAATGAGCAATGCACCGTCTGTAAGGGTAGTAGAGGCAAAATTATGAAAGCTTTTACGGAGTAATGACGTGCCTTATATGTGCACGTGATACCAAATGTTTTGGACCAGACCACCCCCCCCCCCTCAAAATATATCAAGAAGATCGCCTAGACCCTAACTTTTGTTCATATTTTAAAGGTGTTGCGATCGAGATGCAGTTCGACTGGTCAAACTACCAGC